GGAGTGGGAGTTGAATGATCTCAGGTTACTGGGTGTCCCTGAGGGGAATAACTGCAGAAACCTGGAAGATTACACAGCCAGAAAATGAGTTACAGAGAACTGAGAGCTAATGAACTTTACAAATCTTGTCGGGCTGGTTGCTGATAGCTCATCCTTTACCAACAACCGAGTGTAAGGAAATTCAATGACTAGTGACATTTGTACTTGTACTTCCCCTGGTCGTGAAAGGTCCAAAATAGATGCCTTTGGAAATAGTCCAAGATAAAGTCACAGCATATTTAAGAAAATCTAACATTTTTTTCATCTTGATTATATCCAGGCTGTATCAATGCTGAGGTGCTTGTTTTCCCCCTTGCTTACAACAGGGTAAGCAACCTCACTGAAGGCAATAGGGATGTACGAGTATGCAGAACAGCACCAGAAAATCTTCTATTATGATTAAGCGATCAGTGCATGTGCCTATGAACTAGCCCACCTGCTAGAGAGGAAACGGATGGCACTATCACACCTGCTACTTCTCAGGCCTTTTGGCTCCTGTGGGGGCCTACACTTCTCCGTGCCAGATTTCTTGCCCTAAACCTTTCCTGCTTCTGCCACCTTCAATTCTTTCTCTCCATGATGGCTCACAGTGCTTCTCTCCAAACTTAAGCAGCCTATGCCATAAAACCCAGTCATCTTGAATACAACAAATGTTGATGTAGGACTAATAATAGAGGGGAAAACTCCCAGTGAAAATGAAACATCATAAACCATACCTTAACATCAGAGTGAAAATAGCTGGTTATAACAGTATATAGGTTGAACATGATGAAGAACGAGCCTCTGAGAAAGTCCAATTGTGTTTCCGTTGTGCAGGAAGCTAGATGCATTATGTTTTTCCCCTCTCTAGTAGATACCGTTTCCTTTGTCCTGTGCCCTATGGTCTTTCTGTGAGTAGTATACATGTGACAAGTCAATCTAATTTAGCACTGGGGATCAAACCTGAGGATTAAAGCAATAAACCCTTTCTTCCAGTTCTTACTACAAGACACCGATCTGTCAAACAAGGCTGCAGCAGATAAATCAGTCCCTCTGTGGAGCCCAACCACCACAAAAAGGAGGCAGAGCACCCCGGCGAATGGATGTGGGCTCCACATTTGTCCTGCCCAGAGAAATCCATTATAAGTGTCGCAGGCCTACCCACCTCAAGCCCTGATATTGTTCACCACTTGGATAGTTTCTTATATGCTTTTCTATCTTGAAGCATCAGTAGCTCGTTGAACCCAGATATTGCACTGATGGGGCTTTGTGGTCATCTGTTAGAGCTTTTCTTTAGTATATCGAATATTACCCTCATTCGTAGCTTCAGATCACCATCGACCCTTTTTCACTAACAATCTATTTGATCATTTAACATATTGAAAAGAGTTACATGAGGTGCCTGGAACATTTTTAGTGGGATCCCCCTTCTGCCCTCTGGGGCATCCAAATATCTATCCTCATGCAAGACATTTAGCCTATTAGCAGCCAAACGCAGCGGCCAGAGATTAAAGCTGGTATAGTGTTGTCATCTACTGTTTTACTGGGTGTACCTGGTAAATTGGTAACGCCACTTTGCCTGCCTCATCCGGTTTCCTCACCTGTAAAACACTGCAATAGTATTTACCTACCTCGTGCGGAGGTTGCAAGGATTCATAAATGAATTTATTCATTCACACCAAACATGTTGAAAATCTTCAGCTGAAAGGTGCAATTATTCTTGTTTATTGCTGTTACTGGGCATATCTGTATTTGTGGTCCTACTATGAATATAGGCACTTTGTTAGCTGTGGAGCTACAAGACAATGTGGGAACAGAGTTCGTATAAATGAAGAATGTGAATTCTGAGCTCCATAACCCTTAGACAAGATAATCGGGGGGGGGGGGGGGGGGGGGGGGGGGATGGCTGCTCTACTAAGGACAAGGACCTGAACTTTCTTATATATAAATACGTGATCCTAAGAAAATGTGGAAGCCGACCTTTTTGTTTGTGTTTCCATAACTTCCTTCAGACCCATGTCTGCTTGTCTTTGATGTGACCTGGATTGTCTCAGGCGGTGTGGTGGGCTGCTCCCCCCCCGCCCCGGGAGGTGTGGGTGATCACATTAGAGCTGGGGAGGAGGCCTTTGTGCCTTGTTTATGCTTGGAGCCGGAGTGCTAGTTTGCGATCTTGCAGGCTGTCTCTATTACGTTGCACTGCAGTGCATTGCTGGCAGCTCTTCCGTCCAGAGCTCTACCAATTGATATGTCACACAATACCCAGTGTGGGAAGGGCGAACACCCTGCCATTTGGCTGGTTATTTGCACAGATCAAATCGGCTTGCTCGGCTTGCTGTTTCCTTCTCCGAGGGTCACCCTTAACAAGCCCCAGTCCCATGAGTTGCCCCTTCCTCCCTACATCTTACCTTGTGGCCTGCACAAAACCAACCAGGTTGCATTTCTTGTTTTTCCAAGTGAAGCCCTCTAAGGAATCAGTCTGCTGACTGTCTCTCCCTCTGTGCTTGGCTCTAATTATGGGCACTAGAGATAGGAAATGGGGTGCAGCAGTCAGGGAGAGAAAATTGTGGGATTGTTGCTACCAGACTCCCTGTGCTTACAGTGGTCAGTGCTTGGATGAGCTGCAAACATGCTGCAGGGATGGGCAGGTGAGGAAGAAGCTTCAGTCAACAGCCTTGAGCTCCCGGTGGCAGCGGCTGTGCGCCATGGGGCTGGGGAGCATGGGGGGGGGGGGGGGGCCCC